AAGAAAGATTCACAAAAGATTCGGATAACCTAAATATCAACAAAATCACAAATTTCCCTGGAGTACAGATCGAAATTACCCAAATAATTGTTAAGAATCCGAAACGATTCAAACTCAAAAATACAAAGTCTAAGAAGTTTAAGTCCTCTTCTTTATCTATGATTTAAATAACACAACCATCCAATAAAAGCAAACCAGCATCCGACCGATCAATCATTCAAACAGCGATTAACCATAGACAAGCTTCAAACCCATGCAACGACCGATCAGCGTCGACGAGGACGCGGCCGGTGTTCAAAAGACTTCCGGCAACCGGATTCCAGGTGGTGCATTAATACTAAAGCCGACGTTTAAATATTTACCGAGCACTGAAGAGAGATAGATAGATAGATAGATAGATATATATATATATATAGAGAGAGAGAGAGAGAGAGAGAGACGCGCGTCGGCGAATCAGGGCCAAGCTTCGCCGGAAAGGACGCGAGCAGAGGAAACAGAGAAAAGTTCACCCCTTCCCCTAGCTACGGTGTCTTTCCCGGCAGGCTCTGATGAATTTTTATGCTTCATCCGTGTTAGCTTCGTCGACGGGTCCGCGATTTAGCGAAATACGAGGCGAACGACGACACACGGGCGCCGGGGAACGTGGCAGACAGGGCTGATGAAGGCACAGAAATATGCAAACGCGCGCAACGTCCCCCGGAGCATCAGCTGTGTGAATTACGGGGCTGCGGCACATATTATTGTCCCCGGTTCCGGGGCGAAAACTCATCCGGCACACGTACAAAGCGCCGCCGACGACGTGTCGCTAAAGGGCCAGCGTAAAAACATCGCGGCGCCCGTCTCTCCGAGGAGGAATCGCGTTTAGCCCGCGTTTCAGCCGTGTCTGGTACGCGTCTGTCTCGTAACCCGGCTGCGATTCGACTGGGGACTTTTCTTTTCCCCTACAGCAGACGGCTGTTAATTGCTTTTCGGCTGGAGACGTTGATGGAACCTCGGCGTTGATTAGATTTGGCGGATAGGGGATATGCTTGCGGGATGTTGCTGATGAGGATTCTTTGCGGGTTTAACTCTTTTAGGAGGTTGCGGGTATTTTAGGGTATCAGGGTTTTTAGATTCGAATGATCTAATATCTTTTTAGGGTATCGGGGTTTTTAGGGATTGTGGTGGATTGTGGTTTGATGGTTAGATGATGGAGGTTAGCGATTTTGGGGGATATAAGATTGAGTCAACAATTGATCAGAGTTAATAGAGATTGGTGATTGTTGTTCCTGTAAGAATGTAAGTTTTCTTTTTGTTAAATAACCCTTTGCACTCGACAATTTCCCATTAGAAATATTCATCGTTTTCCGACAAGGCATGCGTTCTTTGAAACCAACCAATAAGGAACCTTACATAAATAAAAAAACAAAGCTATTTTATTCCAATATTTTCTATTGTATATCGATGCATACTTAATATTATATATGAGCTTCTAATTTCACTATATCAAATCAAGTGGTAATTAAGGCTCACCTTTCGAGTGCAAAGGGTTAATCTTAGTAGTCGTTTTATTGTAGAGTTAACAACTTGTTTTTAATATCTGTGAGAATCTCTAGAGCATCTGGAGAAGCAAACATCCGTTTGATCAGCGGAGCGCAGAGCGATAGCACATGCATCAAACAAATATGTTGACGCGACTGACAACTAATCTCCGATCAAACCTATGGTGTCTAATTGCTGGAAGAGAGCGCTGACATATCGAGCCTCCGGCCGAATGTTGACTGCTCAAGTCTTCGCGTCCCATAACGGCCGGACTAATGAGCTGTCTGTCGATTGCAACCTATTCGGATTTTGAACTCCGTGACACCTCGCCCCTGATTGCTTTAACAGCCGAATGAACTGCACATTGCCTGTATCTAATCGCCGCGAGACTCGTCCGCCAACGGTTACGCGGATAAACGCTGACTGTTCGGACGCGATAGTTACGGCGATTGAGGATCGACCGTCTGACCCTGATTGACCACTGATCCGTGAACACGACAACGCTTTGACCTCGAGTGCTGCCTGTAAACATTGACATGTCGTCTGATATCACACACTTTATGCATTTTCATTATTCATAATTACACTGAACGCAATATAGAAGAATTCGCGATCATCTATTTAATACTGAATCATATATAACTCTTAAGATGTTAACATTTTAATTATAAAACTTCATAATATTCCAAATATTCCTTTGATTCTAAATTATACGCTAGCAAATTAATCCTTTGCACACGAGAGGTGACTCTCAATCATTTGATTTCATAGAGTAGAACTATAGAATTTGATAACACTTAGGCGACCATTTAAGAACTATAATTACAACCTCTTCCATTATCCTCAATTGAAAAAACAAGAACAATATTTGATGAATTGCAAATAATCCCAGTTTAAGAAAAGATAAACAGAATAAAAGGAATAAAGATTTTTTCCATTTTATAAAAAAATAATTAATAAGAAATAATATCGGCCCGCCGAGAGGAACCGATTCCTCAAAAAACGACGGCATTTCTGTTGCGGTCCTCGCACGGAGCACTTCGCGATTCGAGATTCGTAACAGCGTCCTCCAAGCGAAAATATATCTTAGCGCCTAAAATATAACGCTGCACAATCCCCCACAATTCAATTCTCACTACTCTTCACCACTACCCAAAAATCGCTAACTCAAACATTCAATCTCTCAATCCTCCACCGCAACATCCCCCTAGAATCCCCAATCCATCTCAAAAGGATGCAAACTCAAACGTCTAAAATATAACGTTGCACAATCCCCCGCAATTTAATCTTCACTACTCAAATCGCTAACTCAAACTAAACACTCAACCTCTGAATCCTCCCACCGCAACATCCCCCGAATCCATCTCAAACAGGATGCAAACTCAAACGTCCAAAATATAATGCTGCACAACCCCCTACAATTCAATCTTCACTACTCTTCCACTACACAAAAATCGCTAACTCAAACTAAACACTCAACCTCTGAATCCTCCCACCGCAACATCCTCCGAATCCATCTGAAAAACGATATGAACTCAAAGAGGTTAATTCCACTCCGCAAACTGTCTCGAACCCGACCTCCCCAACTTACAATCGACAACCGTTGTCGCTAAGCGTATTCGTGCAGGAAACAAATTCCCCAGACGGACGCCGGCCGTTCGCCAGATAAAGATCGGCGACGCGTCAGACATTAATTTATCAAAGTTCGACTGGAATTCCGCCGGTGGCAACCTGTTTAACCGCGATACCGGTAATCGCGTTTGACGGCTCAGCGCGGCGGACCGAGTGACGATCGAAACGCGCGGCGACTCGGTCCAATTAAAAATTTCCCAGAGTCACGGCCCCGTTAAAAATAATTACGCGGCGAAGGGACGGGGGCAAGGAACGGGGACCGCGTCCACGCCCTTTCATTTCGCCTCGAATTTCGGTTACGGGCCGTTGTTCCGCAGCCGATCCAGTTTATTTTGAAGCACGCGCTTCGCGGCACAGCTCGCTCGCCGGCCTCGGCTGCTCGTCGCGATAACGCCGCTTCCGCATCGAGTCCGGCGAATTCAACCGTATGATGTTGTTTATTCCGGAAGAACTGCTAGACAGTGGTACCGAGGAGTGTTGTTAGCGGGACCGGGTTTAATGCAGTCGATGATGGAACTTTTCGGCGTTTATTGTGCAGCGCTGTCTTAGGGCACTGTAAGAACCGATTCTCGTGCGTAACACGAATTCTTCTTTGTTGGAAGAAGCGTTAACACTTCAAGTGAAACTCCAAGAATGCACATATTGAGAATTCAAATTGATTAACAATTCAGCTTGAGTATTGCTAAATCAATTTCTTTAACCATTTCTCAGAGACATCTGTTATCTTTTTAATAATTATAAAAAGAAGAAATCAGGAATGGGTGATTTTGACCCGTCTGGTAGTTTTAGTGTTAACATTAGAACTAGTAGTTGAGTTGAATTGGTAATAGCCTAGCATTTTGTTTAGAGTTTTCTATCTATTAACACTAGAAGTAACGAGCACTTAACAGCTTGCCTTACAATAACTCGTGAGACTCGTGGTGAATATTTTAAATGGAATTCAACACGTTGACTGCCACGAGAATTTTTAGCGTTTTGAATAGTAATACTTATTCTTTAATAACAAAAGCAAATGATGTTGAAAATTATTAATGGTTTAGTATCACAGTAGTCACATTATGCTATGATCTAGCTACTTATGTTACTAAATATTCTTATTTGAGATCAAGTGTTTTATTATAATTGTTCTTTAGCAATTTGGAAGCTCCGGTCATCAGTGACCACCGTGGCAGTCAACGCGTTAAGAAACTGTTTTGTTATTATCAATTGATCTTAATAATAATCAATGACAATATGCTATACGAGCTGAATATTGAAAGTAAATAATATACCAAGAGATTAACCCTGTGCGGACGAATGTCGACATTTCGACGAGATGAAATTTTCATACTTGGAAGTCTAAGTCGTAAACAAATGATTTAATTAATGAAATCGCAAGAGATTAGCATGTAGTTTCCTATTTTTCTATTGTTCAAGTAATTTTTATATAATTTAGCTTCATCCGTTGAGGGTTTTGTATATTTCAGAGAATCTTCGTCCGCAAAGGTTGAATAACTTTCCAAGAAATTCTCAATATACCAAATACCAAATATTAGATTTCCGTATTTTATAAAATACCTATTAGACTTGTCTCATAGTTCTAAAGTAAAATTGCTGTTTACTTTGTGATATGTTTCTACCAGTAATAGTTAGTACTTCCGGTACATCCTATGCAACGGATTAATTATTGCGGCAACTAATGGCGGCGAGCTCTGATAAATGTTGGATTCGACTTAGCCGCAAGTTTTTGCCCGAGTAAATTGATACGCTGTTCACGGATCCGGGGGACAACTAAGACGATTAGACACATAGAGTGTTCCATGAATAACAAAGTGGATCTCGCGGGCATTTTCAGCAAAGAAGCTTACCCTCGTACACCCAGTCCGGCACTCCATTATAAATGGTCCCGAAGACCCCGGTGTCGGTGATTTGATAGTCGACAGCCACTTCCGCTTCCGGCCTGTAATAGATGTTGTTCTGGTGCACGTAGACGAGCGCGTTGCCACGTGGCGCCCAGGTAGCCAACTGCAGGGAAATGGAGTCGTTCGCCGTCAATGACGTTTCCGCCCTGTAACGAGAAACGTTCGACAATTTTTAATCTTCGATTTCCGAACTTTCGCAGGATGTGGAATATATTTTCGGCTTTCCGCTTTGAAATCTGCGTCAATGTCACTTTCAAATGTTTGATTGTTACATATAAAGTATTATTGGATTATTAGATATAAAGGATTATTGGATTATTAGATATAAAGAATTATTAGATTATAAGATATAAATGATTATTAAATTATTAGATATAGAGGATTATTAGATTATTCGATTATTAGATATAGATGATTATTATATTATTAGATACAAGTGATTATTAGATTATTAGATATAAATGATTATTAGATAATTAGATATAAATGATTATTAGATTATTAGATATATATGATTATTAGATTATTAGATATAAGTGATTATTAGATTATTAGATCTAAATTATTATTAGACATAATATACACACATTTTAACCCTTTGCACTCGAGAGGTGACTCTCACTCACCACCTGATTTTATGAAACTATAAAATTTGATATTTAATATTACACCTCGTATAATACATCACTTTGAAGACATCAATTAGTTTCACAAGACATCGTCTTTATCTCATCAGAAAATGTTGAAATATTTCTACTGAAACTCTTCCGAGTACAAAGGGTTAAATAATAAAAGCTTTATTACAAAATAAACATTCACTGAATTTTTACTGTTACGTTACGATACGAAGTTTATATATTTGTAGATATTATGGTACAAACATTAATTTTTTATCAAACATTTTGGTCCCAGGTAGGAAACCACGGCCCAGACATAATTTGGCGTACGCATCTGGTTACGGTATGAGCAAATACAATATTATTCCTTGTATAAAGCGGCTTCTTCCAACGAAGGATCTAGTCAGACCCAGGATAAACCTAAGACGTGTACCTTATGATTAAGCTGAACCAGTCCTTGACCCAAGACAAACAGAAACTTTGATAACACTAAAACTCCATTAATTCTGCGTTTAGACAAACTGGCATCCACGATTATCGAAATAACACGTCTCGGTGAATACACTTTCCCCGCAATATTTTCACAAAATTTCCTACTAGAGTCCCTTCCTAAGATAAGAACCGCCTTTAAGGCCCCACTCTCTTTTTGCGAATGAGTGGGAGAACGATTGTGCGGAAGGAATGGAACAGCTTGAGTATTTAAGAGTCTCGATCCAAACTTCACGAGGTCAACGAAAGTCAGCCATCAACGAAGGTCAATCGGGAATAAGTTCAATCAGCAACCAAGTTCAGTGAGAAACAAGTTCAATCAGGAACAAGTTCAGGAACAAATTCAGAAAACCTCCATCAGGGAGTTCAGTTAGTTAGTCATCAGAAAGTTTTTAGTCCCATCATTGGGTAATCCGAATTAGACGACAGGAAGTGCATATATTTAACACGTTGATTGCCGCACGATTTTGCCGAGACAAATATAGTTTATGCCATTGAATTACGTTGTTATTATTACTAGTTTGAATTGTTGAATGTCAGTGTATTACGTGGTACTAGTTGTGATATAGAAAAGTTTCAAATAATCATCGTTCAATCGAATGAATTATAGTAATTCGATTTGGTTGAGGTCACCGGTGACCCCCACGGCATTCAACGTGTTAAAGTCCTCGTGACAGTCCGAGTGCTTAACGGAATAATCATCACGCAGTGTATTTCTGTTGGAGAAAAATCATCCTAACCCTTCCGAACTTCCGCTTACACTTACATAAAGCCAGGAACAAAAGGGTACAAGCTATTCCCTCCACTCCGAACATCCCCACGCACAAAAGAGTCACCGGATGAAATGGCAAAAAACCCGGAATCGAATTATTCAAACTATTCTCAGCCACTGGAATCAGTAAACCGCATTTCAACGAAATCACTCAGCCCCCTAACAACCGTGGACCACTGCGGAGTCCCTTTTAAATCCATTTCCCGCCACGGGCGGGCCAACACGGAAAAACCAGCGCGGTTCAACGCACCGACGCGACGGCGGTGTCCTGTCAGCCGGGCTCGTCCGCAAAATTGAACAAGTTCCTTCGATGGCCCGAGCCAATCCACTATGAAACGTTTCCTAAACCGAGACCTGGTTTCAACGTTGTTCGCGGGAGTGCTGCGTATTCCTGTCGTCCGCGCGATATTAGCGAAAGCGGTGAACTGTCCGGCAGGAAGAGGATCGGGGATGAGGCAATGGAGACCGAACGGATTGCGGAATGCGGTCGCTAGACATTTCCGCGGGGAAGCGGGGGGAAGAGAAAGAGGACAAGGTTCGGTGGTTCCTTAGTACCGTTCGGAATTCTGTAACCTCGGACGATAAAACGTCGGATACAGGGTGTCTTCGAGTTTTCGGGTGAAACTTTGGCAACGCGGTCTGAGGATGAAAGTGAGACGAAAATTTTATGCGGTTGCCAGTCTGCCGGCACTTTGTTGAGGTAGAACTTGGGATTTGGGATGAAGTTTATGTGTTGTAAATGTGAAACTTGTGGTTGAGGTAGCAACTTGGAATTTGAAAATTTGAAAATTTGAAATATTAAATGTTAAATCTGAAATATTGAGATTTGAAGTATTTAATATTCCATTCGAGATATAAAGATTTGAGATATTGACTGTCAAATCAAAAATATAAAAGTTTGAAGTATTGAATATTCCATTCGAGATATAAAGATTTGAAATATTGACTGTCAAATCTAAAATACAAAAACTTGAAATATTAAACGTTAAATGTAAAATATAAAAATTTGAAATATTGAACATTCCATTCGAGATATAAAGATTTGAAATATTGACTGTCAAATCTAAAATACAAAAATTTGAAATATTAAACGTTAGATCTAAAATATAAAAATTTGAAGTATTAAATATTCCACTCAAAACACAAAAATTTTTAATTTCAACTGTCAATTCTAAACTATACAAATTTAAAGTATTAAATATTCCACTCAAAACACAAAAATTTTTAAATTCAACTGTCAAATCTAAACTATAAAAATTGGAAGTACCACATATTCCACTCAAACCATAAAAATTTCAAATTTTCACTATTAAATCCAAAGTTAAATAAAGAATATCACAAATCTACAGTTACAAAGTCCTTCACGTACACAGTTCACTCGAACCTGCATACTTCCTGCAGAGTAAGCTTCGAAAAGTGGACTGCCGCGGAGAAGATAAATCGACAGAGCCTGCGGGCCGCGCTGGTAAGATCGAAATACTAAACTCAGGGACACCCCGTACGAGTGGCTGGTTCCAGGGCAGCGGTAACAAGCAGCTATTCGATCCATTCTATCAGAATTGCCCGAAGAAGCGGTGCCGCGATACCAACAAAGGCGGAACGGACCGCGTAAACCCCGGGCCGCAACGCGTCGGTGCTCTCTCGATGCCGCGATTACCACGAATGCATATATGCTTTCGCCAGGATCCCGTGGATCCTTATTTTAGGAGCAGTAAAAGCAGCTCGGACGTAAACCAAAGCACTATGTCCGTTGAGATTGCCGCGTTACAGGAAACGATCCCCGGGGAACAGGAACAGGAAGCGAGAGGCAGGCAGCCGGCTAGGATTTCTAGTGTCCGATCTATTGGCTAGCCGCTTGATTAATATTTATTTGGATCAGGAAGACCGATAGCTTCCCTGAACCGGGTCCACCTTTGCCATACTGCTTTCGGTTAGATTGTCATTCGAGTTCTAGCTGCTTCGAGGACTTGGACAGAAACTGGCAGTGTTTTCTTAACATATTAACTCTTCGTCGGGATTATTCAATTTAATTATGCATTTTCCTGTATTTATCTTCCATCCCCGTGCGAGGACTGTTGGAGGTTTTAGGAATAATACACGCTAGTGAAGTAGGAAGTGGAATTGTAGAGATTGTTAAAATTTCTATCGTTTCATTTGAATCTATGATGAATGTGGATTATCTGGTTTAGGTGTTGGTGGAATTTAGGTGGCTACGGGTTAAGTCTCAATTGGAATGCTTAGAATTAGGTTTGATAGATTCACCTCTTGCCCTATGACTTCTTTCTGTGGTATTAACCCTTTGCGGACGAAGGTGTTTAGAAACGTGTAAAACCTTCAATAGACGAAGCTAACTTATTTATCAATCGCTTAATCAATAAAAAAAAAGAAACTACATGCTGATCTGTAACTGTTCGAGTAATTAAATCACTTGTCTGAGACTTGGTTTTCCAAATATGAATATTTCATCTCGCCGAAATGTCGACATTCGTCCGCAAAGGGTTAATGGAATTTGAATATGTTTTATTTAAAAAAACATAGGAATAAGTAATTGAAGCCATTCGTCCAATGAAGTCTACACTATCTACCAACTAGACTTCTATCAAATCCACATCAGACCTAAGATCTCACGGGATTCAAGTTAGGCCTAGCCTATCCGCTACCCAAGTGTCCATGCTCAAAACAGTGAATCTTAACGACGTCAAAAAAGTCAAATCAGCTGCTCGTTAGTTTTAGCGCTAAGTATATCTTTCCTTAGAAAGTTACTTATTATCTTAAAATTATTAGTTATTGATTAACACGTTGACTGCCACGAAAAACAGGGTTTTATGTATCACGTATCCTCTCTACAGCAACGGTGCAAAGCAAGGATTATTAATTCTTTGATATGAAAATTCTTATATTTTTATATAAAAACGAGATTTCTCGTTACCAGTACGCAATGTGTTAATAGTATGCACTCGAAAGCTTTTTAGAAATATTGAATATTGACGAGATATAGACGATATCGTTCGAAACTAATTTAACGTTGGATGGCATGGGGGTTACTGGTGACACGAACCAAACCGAGTTACTGTGATTTATTCGATTGAACGATTATTTGGAAAGTTTTCTGTGTTATTCGTAATACTACGGTACTACAGTTACAAATTATTATTAGCATATCCACAAACTTCCACGACATCCGAGCGAAGCCTACATCCTCTACTCCTTCGATCGCACCTACTCAATTCCGCAACAACTCCCAGCGAAACTCCATAGAACCCTTCGA